CCATCTTGTCAAATTAACTGTGGCATCAGTTCACACTTTTCAAAGCAGTGGGCGAGAAAGCTAGAGATGTTCAAGAATAATCTTTTGTCAAATGTAATGTTCCATTTCACATCTCTGGGCAGAGGGACAAAAATAACACAGGTTTGGAGGCTCAAGTGTCACAACACAATTAAGAATCTGCGGCCCATGTGGATCATTCAGCACACACAGTAGAACAGCATGCCATAGATTTTAGAGAGGAAAGCATTCCCAGAGGCCTTTGGGGCATCCTAAGAGAAAATCTGGTGAACACTTGCCTGCTTATTTCTAAACTTAAAAAAATAAAAATAAAAAATGTGATGCTACCAGTGCTTTCAAATATAAGATTGGGAGGGAGAAAAATTAATTCACTACCCATTCCCCAGAGCCTAAATAATCCCAATGTTTTGTCAACAGCGGTGTATAAGAACAATCACATGGTCAAAGACAAATATCAAATGAGAAATAACGGTGGAGAATGAAATAGGAAAGCTTGTTTAAGTTTTCTACCAGGGAAACTGCTTGCTAACCTCACTTTACTTTTGACAGATAGTATGTGAGATAAATAGTAATGGGTTTATAACCTTCTAGGAACTTTTTAAAACTTCTTAAATAATAGGCCCTAACTAAGCATGAGACAAACTCAGCTTAAGATGCTCAGGGCCCTGAAAGTCCAGCTTCCATCAGAAACCATCTCTCAGGACCTGAAAGGAAGGTTAGGTTCTTTGTGCTATGTGATGCTTTGGTTTTCATTGTTTCAAGACTGACTGCATGTAAGAAGAGGCTCGGCTCCCAGCCGTGTCTTCAAGAACAGTCATACCCCTTCACTACCCTTACATTACTGCTCTGGGATGCTTTACGGCCAACCACACCAATGGTGTTCCAGGCTTATGACCCAAAAAGAGTGTAAGTAGATCCAAGGAAGCTCAGCTGAGAACTTCGGGAAATAAATCTGGAGACTGGGTAAAGCACCTGTTTAACACTGGCCCGTCTTTCTCATCATAAGGAGGGAATGGCGTGTGTCTCTGCAACAGAGGAAATGGAGAGACAGTCTCTCTCCTCTGAATTTTTTCTCTGGTGAGAAATAATGAGAACAAATGAATGTCACTGAGAATGTCACCTCCTCAAAGTTCACTTGTAGCAAATGTGCACCAAGAATTCAACTGGAGTCTTCAAAATCCATCACATTTGCCTCCCTTGTCGTTTGTAACCTGGGCTTCTGCTAAGAAATAGAGAGGGGCAGGGACCACAAAGTCTTGTGTTCCCCTACTTGAATTCGCCAAATAGGAGAGCACCTATTTGTCCTGCATTCTCAGGCACTAAACCTAAAGACCTGGGAACCTGACAAAGGACAGAAGTTGAAGTTTGAAGAAGACGAGTTTGGCATATAGTTTCTGTTGGTGGAAAAGAGGTAGAGATAGAAAGGTAAGTCTACGAACACATCCCTGGGAGCAGAAAGTGGTCCATCACATAAAGCCTCTTCTCTGACTCAACATTCTCTCTTAGTCTCACCAAACCTGTTCTCCAACTCTAATTATATTTTCTTTCTTCTGTCATCCTAAATGCCTGCCTTTCTCTTAGTTCTTATGCTTTAGTTAATCTTCCTAATCCAAAGAGAAATTGCCTGAAGCTGTGTGACCTGGGGAGCTTTAGACAAGATTGTGCGATTGGGTACTTTTTTTTTTTTTCTTTTTTGTTTGTTTTTTGAGACAGGGTCTCCCTTGTAGCCCCAGCCGTCCTGGAATTCACTATGTAGACCAGGCTGGCCTTGAACTCACAGAGATCCGCCTGCCTCTGCCTCCCCAGTGCTGGGATTAAAGGCGTGCGCCACCACACACGGCTGATTGTGTGCTTTTAACATTATACAAATATTCTATACCCATTACGTAAAGTTCTAAATTGAACAAATAAAATCTAGTAGAAATTCAAAACTTGCTGAAAACAGTATGATTGGAAGAGCTCATACTCTTTCCCCAGAGATTCTATCCCAAAGAATTGTCTTCAAAATAAAGAAAAACCCTTTTGCATGAATACGTTCATCACAAGGTTATTATCAATGGTGCAGCAATAATGAGGAATGACTAGGAAATTCTAGTATGTCTACTGGATGAAAAGTTATGTTTGCATTTTAAATGTTACTGCTCAATAAAATTGTAGAAAATTAGGGTCAGAGGATATAAGTAAAAAGATATATAGCAAGTCATTAATAAGAGAAGATTAAAGTCATACATGAAAAGTGTCAATAATAGTCTTTTAGTAAAATTGTGATTTTTTTCATATTCTTATAGTTTTCAACTTATTCACAATTCTAAAATGGAGGAACTTTTTAATAGGTGAACTTCTTTAGAAGAGAAAAAATTTTATTTTCATGGCAAGCCTTTTCTTCATTTAGTTGATAAATTATTTTAGAGTCCAAAAATATTTTTTCTAGCAGAAAATTTGAGGCAAACTAAATGAAAACTATAAGCAAGAAAAACTTAACCTGCATAAAAGATATCTGTACTACTTCTCTGTGATTACCACATCAGAAACGGATCTCAGCCTGCCATTCAAAACTCTTCATAACCCAAACAGCATAAGCTCTGCTAACCCTGTGTCTCAGCCTGTGTAAATCAGCCCCAACTCTCAGAGGATAACTTAATTCCCTTCTGTCCATGAAGACTTTCCTAACCACACTAGCTTTAATAATAGTTCCCTTGTCTCTGAAGGTATTGCTATAAGCACTTAATGCTACATCACCTTTTTTTTTTTTTTTTTTTTTTTTGGTATTAAGCCCATTCTAAGTCATTCTGGCAATTCTTTTCATATGTGTAAATATCTCCTAGCTAGGCCAGCAGTTCCTTCAAGTCAGGAATTGAAACAGGATGCAATACTCATTGGGCCAGAGGCAGAGAGGAACAGTTCTAAACTCAGGTTGGTATCATGTTCAAGCCCTCAGTGATCTTATCGAAAGGACACACGCTGTCCCTGTTTTAAAACATAGCTTCTGACATCATTACTAGGATGTCACATAATTTTAATTTTTAAAGCAGTAATATTTTAATTTTGTTTATTCATTTATATCAATTCTGTTGTTTCCCTTGGGATTAAACAGATTGGGTTGTAAAATGCCTCACAAAGATTTAAGGTATAAACAGCAAAATAAAGCAACCTTCTAGGAATCAACTTCAGACCATACACAGCACCCTGATTTTCCTACCATCATATGAACAACAAATATGAATTTGTGTTCATGTTATGTTCTTACTTAGGCTGTGGGCTTTAGTCTATCCATATCCCTTTTAAGAAAGTACTCTCCAAAGCAAATGGTCCAGTGCTTTAGAAATGATGGGCTCAAATGGCTGTGTCCTTGCCTGCCATCAAACTCTGCCAGTACTTAGAAATAAAGAGCATTTGTACATTAGCAATCTGCCACCTGAGACATCAACAAGACTGGAATATCTTACACGAAAGTCCATAAATCACAAATGAAAGCAAGCCAAATGACCCAAGAGAGGAGAAAGAAAGATCTGGCATCCAATATTCTTGCAGAAGGAGCTCAGGGAGTCAAATGATTGTTGACTCTGAAGGTCAGGGCATCAATTAACCAATCAGTTTCCCACTGTGTAGAACTCCATCTTACTACAACACACACGGTTTTCTTTTTTGGTGAGAGAAGCAGCACTTGAGAGTAAATTTGTATCCTATATTCTACCACTTACTGTGTGATCATATTTTAGTTTCTTAGCCTATAAAATGGAGCTATCACCTGCTATGCCAAGACAGAGTTGTGATGAATCTAACAGCATTATGAGTCCGGGTTTATCTGTGACCCAACTCTGTGTGATTTAGTTCCACACCACCATGAACTAGATAACCATTCATTCTTCGAACACTACCCAAAGATTAAATGATAAAGATTTCCAGATTTCTTTCTATGGTGCTAATTCATTTTCCCAGACCTTGAGCACCCAGTATATACCACCTCCAAAAATGTGCTGAGCATCTCCTGCCATGACCTAGCTCTCCTACAAAGTGTTGTCCAGATGTAATTTTTTGCTAGATAAGCTTTCTAAGAAAATAGATGTTTTCTCACATGAGTATGGGGGGAGGGCTGTGATACTTAAAAAGCAATATGCAGAAAGTTTACAGATTGTTTCAGATGTTTGAGATTACTTTTGTGAAAATTAATTCTATACTAACATCTAATAGTGCTTGTATACCCACACCTAGACCCAGTACTGATACAGGAGTGAGGGAGGCCTGAGTTCAAATTCCTGTTCTGTGACCTTGATATTGTCATTTAAGATCCCTGCTCCTCATTTTCCACGTTTGGTTCTGGGTTGCTGTGATGATTTAATTCAATACTATATATATAACACGTATATACATATATATGTATAAAGTAATTGCCTAGAATCTGAGGGTAGTGCTCCGTAATTCCTCTACATCTTTTCCTTCTATTCCAGGGTCAAGTCAAGCCCACCCTGAATACAAGACAAGTTTTATAGGAATTGTTCACACTAGTGTGGCGAGGGTGAGTGGTGGGGAAGATATTTCGGTGTCAACTAAAGTAGAGGGTCAGGCATGTATCTTGGATGAGAAGCAGAGAAACCGAGAGATACCCAGACTTCTCTCGGATGTGCGGAAAAAGACATTTCACTGACACACTTTCAAGAACGCACCGCTCTTTCACGGAGGTTGGCGCTAGGATGCGGGGACCGAATACCGTAGCAGAACAGCCAGGCTGGCAATCCGGGTTCAACCCACTTGAGTCCACCAGAGCAGGTATGGAAACTGAGGCAGGAGCCCGCAACCGACCCGGTCGGGTCCCCTCCCCCTCCTGCCCGAACCCGGGGGCACCAGTGGTGCTGAATCATGAGCCTCACAGCAGCGGCTCTCGGTGCGGCTGTCACCGGGGACCCTGTCCCCAAGGCAGGGACCGTGCGGGATGGGCCGGGATGGGGGTGCGGCTGGGGAGGGGGCGGCGGGCAGGTACTCACCGCTGCGGCACCGTGCTGGCTCGTGGCTCCGGGTGGCCGATCCCTCGGCGGCCCGCGCTCCCCGCCGGCAGCAGGAGGCTCCCGGGCCCGGCCCGGCGCTGCCGTCCCTGGGATCCCCTCCGCTCGCCCACCGCCCGGGGCAGCCAAAGCTCGGAGCTCAGACGCTGGACCCGACCCGGAGCAGCTGGAGCAGCTGTAGTGCCCAAAGGGTGGCGGCTACCGACGGGCCAGACCATTCGCCCCTGCACCCAGGGGTGCACGACGAGCCCGGATGCCCGAGCCCCAGGGCCCGCGGAGTCCGCTTCAGTTGCGGAGGACCAAAGAGGAGGAGATACTTCGCCCGCTGCGCGCCCGCAGCGCTGGGGACCGCGGGGACCCGCGGCTTCTCCTCCAGGTGTGCGGGATGGACTGGGCTCTTCACGGCACCCCCGCCCCGAGTGAGCCTTGGTCCCGCTCGGGGAGCTTTCAGAACGCAGCTAACAGAGGACCTAGCAACGCGAGCGCCAGGGCGGTGTCCCCTCCTGAGGGGATGATGCAAAGGGCGCTGGTCTGACGCGCATCTGGGCCACCTCCTCCTCCACCTTAGGCCCTGGGCCACCGAGCCCTGGTCCGTGTTGTCAGCTTACCACAAACAGAGGGGTACCTTGAATGTTGGAAAGGCTTCCTCTCATTATCTCAGCATCCTTGTTTAGCAAAAAATAAGAGGGTACGGAAAACCCACTTGAAAGTTAGTAAGATCAAATGGGCACCCACCCTGCAGGTATTCCATATATTTGAGGAGATGAGGGAGACTTCCGAATCACAGGACCGCTTAGCAAATGCTCAGCCACGGAGGCTGAAAATTTTAGATTGAGGGAACGGTTTCAACTGATCTATGAAAGACTCCATAAGAAATACAGGAATTTGCAGTTGGTTGATCTTGATTGTAAAGGTTACTTTCTTGGTAACTGGAAAATATTCGCGTCCTTATATGAAATGAAATTTAAAGGACCGGAAAAAAAGTTTCAAAACATGACATTTGTTTTACTTTTTGTGTTCCCTGCCTTATCCTAATCAGACACGTGTGCTCTGCAATGGTACAGATCGAGACAACTGTCTAGCTTCCCGCTTAGAAAGTCACAATACAATTGGCAGTTATTTATAAAAATGCAATGGGGTGGGAAGCAAACATATCCCAAATAAAATGAAATTTCTCAACTTAGTCATTTTCTCCTGATCAAAGTGTTGTTCTCTTGAATCAGTCAACCAAAATGGAGCACTTATCATGAACACTGCAGTTCAATTTCATCCTTCAGTTATCCTACAACACTTGTGAGACTGGAGGAAAGGCTCCTGAGTTTTAAGGGGGGGGGAGCTGGACTTTGCTGAGCTGGGCTGAAGTCTCATGAGTTGCCACATAGCAAAGGCTGACGCTTGAACTTCTTACCTAGAGCCTTTCCAAGGACAAAAGACACTCTAGGCCTTGTATCCATACTGCTGCGGTGGGATAGATGAGTTTGTTCAACCTCCCTTTGTGTGAAAACTGTGTTTCATGGTGAAGAAAGGACATCTAGGTGTCTAAGAGAGACATCACCCTGAGGTAGAAAAAGAGATAGAAAGATTAACTTCTCCCAGAGGTAGCCTGGAGCATCAGTACCAGAAAAGCAGTTAGCATCCTGTGAGAGTGATGGCCACTCTTACCCTGTCATTTACACTGTTATACCTTACACTACACTTAGGCCACCATTCTTCCAATCTCAAGTAGGAGCAAGAGTTTTTAAGTGGTTTCTCCTATGCCTTCCCAGAATTCAAAGAAAAACTAACAATAGCATGAATACATCTCTTGAACCTCACGAAAGCTTATTCAGAAATCAAAACTAGAATTAAATTGTTTCACTGTGGTGCGCCATTGTGATTTTTCAAACTGCTATTGTTATAATGTTCACATGTCAGACCAGCACAATAGACACCCCAAGAGTCCCATGTTGCTAGGGAGCCCAGAGCACTGAGTCCCCCAGAGAAGTCAGCAATTCCAACAGAGGGCAAATACGTGGCGTTCTTCTCTTGAAAGAAGATACCAGCAATAGAGAACAAGAATTAAGGAGATGCCTATTGATAAAAATTAGAGACCTGGGAAGAGAGGAGAAAGCCTGCGACCCTTTAGGAAGCTGGTGGACCAGTGCCATCTTCATTTGTACGTTGATGTTTTTAGCACATATGTTTCTATTCTGAATAAAGAATGGAAAATTTTTTGTGATGGTGCCCTTCAGAACCCAGAAAAAGGGAATGGGGAGCACTATATAGCATTTGCCCCTTGTTCCCCTTTAGTGAATTGAGATGGTTTTTCAAGGCCCTGGGGGGCAAATGGTAGGATCAGAAAGTAAGAATCATGTTCACAAATGACTCTGTGAGATTCTGGGTCAATGAACTTCTCCTCTGAACCCTGGGACAAAGAAAAGATCAGGGATAGAAAGTGACAACTTCCTGTGGTGAATGAGGCCTGGGTGGGGGAAGAACAATTATTACCCAAGGTGACTTTTAAACCTACTATATTCTGATTATTATGGAAAATTCATGGGTAGTCACAAACAAGCATGACCTAGGAATACTTAAAAATATTGCCCTGTGGGACTGGAGAGCCAGCTTAGCAGTTAAGAGCACTTGCTGCTCTTGCAAAGGACCCCAGTTTTATTCCCAGCACCCACATGATGGCTCTCCACTGCCTATAAGTCCAGTTCCAGGTATCCGAGGTCCTCTTCTGGCCTCCACAGGCACCAGGTACATACACAATAATACATAAACACAAGTGAAACATATCATTAGATAAATAAATAAAAAATAAAATCTTTTAAAATGCTGTCTTAAAATGGTAATAATTGAACAAAAAGATAGTACTTAATGTCGTCAATAAAATTAAACTATAGGCTGCACTACGCTAAAGCTTGATTATAAAGAATATTCATTAGGTACTTAGTACATGTCAGCTGAGTCAGGGAGTGAAATTCACACCATCCCAGATATTCTTGCTGATGATATTAATTGTGAAGCTTCTGTTTGTTTTCTTTTAGCTAGCACATTCTAAATGACTAGTATATTTGAGGTAAGAACTGGAGAGATGGCTCAGTAGTTAAAAGCATGTCTTGCTCTTCCAGAGGACCCAAGTTCAATTTTTATCACCTATGTCAAGTGGCTCACAACCACCTGTAATTCCAGCTCTAGGGGATCCAAAGTCTGGCCTTCATGGGCTCTAGTATTCATGTACACACAGAAACACACACATACACACACACACACACACACACACAATTAAAAAATAAAAGGTCGGACACGAGGTGTATGCCTTTAATCCCAGTCCTCTGGAGGCAGAAGCAGTTAGAGCTCTGTGAGTTTGAGGCCCTATCTGGTCTACTAGTTAGTTCTAGGCCAGAGTTCCAAGCCAGTTGGGACTACAAGAAAAATTGTGAAGAAAGGAAGGAAGGAAGGAAGGAAGGAAGGAAGGAAAGAAAGAAAGAAAGAAAGAAAGAAAGAAAGAAAAGAAGAGAGCTGCAAGAAAGAGAAAGAGAGAAGAGAAAGAAAGAAATGAAGGAAGGAAGGAAGGAAGGAAGGAAGGAAGGAAGGAAGGAAGGAAGGAAGGAAGAGAGAAAGAGAGAGAAAAAGGAAGAAAGAAAGAAAGAAAGAAAGAAAGAAAGAAAGAAAGAAAGAAAGGGAAAAAATATTTGAGGTTAGCACTACTATTGTGTTCATTATGTAGATGAAGAAACCACAGGATAAAATGGTAAAAGGCAAAAGAGTCAAAGCTGGTTTCAGACCCAAACCAATATTCCCTTTCATGAGTGCTGTTGCATCCTGCCACATGGGAAGCAAGTCACGAATGATATGCTTGTCTTCAGTAGAAATCTATTTCATACTTATGTATTTGTGTGTGTGTGTGTGTGTGTGTGTGTGTGCATGTCTAGGTATGCATATGGAGATCAGAGGACAACTTGCAGGAGTCAGTCCTCTTCTTCAGGGGATCTACTGACATAACTCAGGTCTCAGGTCCTCAGACTTGGCCACAGAAAACCTTTACCCCCTGAGCTAGCTCACCAGCCTTATTATTGGTAATATGTAAAGGCAAAATATGTTTAGAACTGCATGATTGGGATGTTTATGACATTATCCTTTCTAACCAAAAAGATAGTTCTTCTATGCACTTATATTTCATTATACACTCTCAGTGATATTTTTATAGTTTTCATATACCATGGCCTGTGTCTTTCTTGCCAAATTTACCCAGTAATGTGACAGCATCTGTCTTCTGTCACCTGTCTTTCATATTTTCTTAGTGTTATTGCCTGGGTAGACAGAGGCTGGTGGTTTCCACAGTTTATCTTGTATTTATCTAATGCAACAAATATCTTAATTGTTCATGAAATTCCCTTGGACTTTCAAAATAAAGAGGCATATCTTCAGTATCAGCAACTTTATCTCTTTTTTTAAAATCTATTTGTTAAATTTGTGGTTCTAGAAATGCCAATGTTAGTGACTATGATAAGGCTTGTGTATTTCTGGGTTTGAGGTAAACTTTTACTTTTTTGTCATTTAGCACATTGCTGGTGGGCTTTCCTTGGTTGTCTGTATTCTCCTCAGCTGTCTATATTTCTTTCTGTTCCAGTGTTGCTTCGTATTTTCTTTTCACATTGATCAACTGTCCTTTGTCTAATTCCCTTTCATAACCTGCGGACATTGGATAGTAATCAATATGTAACTAGATTTCTTGGTATTGAACTGCCCCTGGTTTCCTGTCAAAGCTTGTCATTCTTTCCTCTGTTATAGTCTCTAATATGTTCTGCGTGTATTTGTCCTCTAGATTAGACATAAAATTGACAAATATATTTAATTGTTGTTGCATGCATTTTTAGGCTTTGGTGTTACAGTTATTCTGGCTACATAAAATTAACTGAGGTGCATTCCTTCTATTTCCAAAACATAGAATAGTTTAAATAATATTAGAATTATTTTAATAGATTAAAAGTTCAACTATAAATTCATCTGACTGCAATCTTTTTCACAGTAGATGGTTAATCACCTCTATTCTATAATAATTGATCTAATTCAGATTTTTTGCTTCTTCTGTCAGTTGTGATAATGTGAATATTTTCATAAAAGTATCATAAGTTTTTTTAATCTGTTTCATCATTTTTGCTTTTTTTTTTTTTGTCTTTTT